GGGGGTTCAGGGCCGCCTCGCGGGCTGGGGCTCGGTGTCGGTGTCAGAATTTATTCAGGAGAATGACAGGCAAATGGGGCGTCTGAATGTTTTAACTCCTAGGCGAAAATCCCAGGCGTTTTGGGCAAAAATTAGTCACTTGGGAAACGAAAGAGAAATCTCCCTGAAAAGGCTATAAATTTACTCGAGATTTTTAAATTAGCTTTTAAAACCCGTATCTTGTAGGTCGTGCATTAACAGTGTTCCAGTTCGTAATGTGCCCGAGTTCATAAGGCTCCCCAAGGATGTAGCTGGAGAGCAGGCATCGCTTTGTGTCTTGTGTGGAGTTAATGGTGTGACTTCGATTTCCTTGCACAAATATTAAGAAATTTTATTGCTGGAGGAGTAGCACCCGTTTCTGTGTCTGTGGAGACTCTCTGTAAGATAAACTGATTTTTAAGGTTGGTGCCTTGCAAGGAGGAATACTTAGTGGTTATTCCCCCTGCCAAGTCTCCCAGCCTGCATTTTAAGAGAGTTGTTTTTCACTGTTACTTTTCAGGGCCTAAAATACTCTCCACGTCCTCACACTTCAGAAACCTGTTTGGCTGTCTGTTTGCTGAGAGAGTTTCTGCAGCTGAGGTCTTTGTATGAGTAAAGACAGCCTACTTTCTGCAGAAATCTTCTTTGTGGTCTGTATGAGTCGTTATTGGAGCTGAAGGTGGCAGCTCTAGGGCTTTGCAGCAGAAGTCCTTGGTGCCAGTATGGAAAAAATGTGCAAAAAGCTGCTGCTGAGGCAAGAGAACAGTCGTATTTCTAAAACTGAGGAGTCGTCATTTATGTAGAGATCTGTAAGCAATGAGGTTGAAGGACCTAATCCTTAAAAATACGGAATTCGTAACAGGTGTTTTTTAAAGAAGATGTATTGTGATAATTTTTTGGGGTAGTAGTTTTGGTACTATTGCATTGTTTTTTTTTTCTTGTGTAGAAAGAGGCTGCAGCCCAAGTTAGCACCAGTTACCTGCTCACCGTTCAGCCTGAGCTTCTCTAGGTGCCCATTTGATGAGAGGAGGGACTTTGGACCCAGTATCAGCTCGTGTGGAGCCTCAGGTGTTGTTTCAGACTGTGACTCCACGTCCCACCCTCCCTCTCCTTCCTCAGAGCTGTTTGCAGGGCGGGGCTTTTCAGCAGGCTGGGAGTAGGTGTTGGCTGGGCTGTGGGATTTGTTTTCCTTTTCTTACTTCTTCCAAAACAAGGTAAAAGTGGAAAGTTTACAGTGGTTGTGTCTGAAAAGTTGTCCGCACAGACAGAGCGGTGACGTGGGGTAGGAGGTGGTGTCCCTGCAGGATGGGCTCTTACACAGCTTTGTCTGGGGGGCGTGGCCCTGCTGGAGATCCTACAACCTGGAGGAAAAGTGATCTGCAGGGAAGGCATAACCTTGAGGTGGAGAGTTTTGTGTTTTATTTCTGGAGACATTCAAGGCCAGGCTTGATGAGGCTCTGAGTAGCTTGATCTAGTTGGGGGCTGCCAACACGAAAACATTTTTGTGCTGTTTGTTAATAAAACCTGTTAATTTGGGGATGGCTTTGTTTGCTTGTTTTTTAGGTTGTCTGATAATTGTGTCAAAATAATTCTTCCACTGAGAAAACTTTTGTAGCCAAGAACCATGACTGCTGCAGAGAACGTGTGTTACACGTTAATCAATGTTCCAATGGATTCAGAACCACCTTCTGAAATCAGCTTAAAAAATGACTTAGGCAAGTAATGGACAATGATTTGATGGATACCACAAGTTATGGAATTATTTTCACATTCTCTCATTGTTCCTTTCCTAGGTTACTGTTTGCATTTTTTAAACTCAAACAAGTGAATTTGCTGTGTATTTTGTTTTGTTGATTGTTGAGGTGTGTATGTTTCTCTTTGCTGTGTTTTGAGAAACTTCATGATGTTTGCCTTAACTGTTTTGGGTTTGGGTTGGCTTTTTTCCCTCCTCAGTCTGTTAAAAATATGCAGACTTTTTCTGTGTTTCTGTTTGAAGTAGCCCTGTTTGGACTAAGGCAGATTCAAGTAATGTAATGACAAGCAACAATTGTCTCATCAGTTGTTCAATGCCCTGCTGTATCTTGCTGGCAGAAAGGGCAGAATTAGTGCACGTGGGAGATCAGAGCACAGGGCAATGTCTTGGTACAAAAGGCTTGTTAAATTTAAGCATCAAAAGAGCCGTGAAGTTTGTTGAACTCAATGAATTCTAATATGTTGAGCCTCAAATTAAGTCTGAACTCCATGCTTATTCTTTAAGTATATCTTGTTTCCTCTTTATCCTTTTAGTGTAAATAAGAGTGTGGATTTTATTGATTGCTACATCACACTCCTTCAGGGGGGCTGTATCTTCTGACACTGAAGATGGATATTCCCATCTGAGGTGATGTGTCAGCCTTCCCGATTTCATTTCCTCCTCCTCTAGAAAAAGGAGATGTCAAGCTGAAGACAGAGGCCTTGAAGAAAGTGATCATTATGATTCTGAATGGTGAAAAACTACCTGGCCTTCTGATGACCATCATACGTTTTGTCCTGCCTCTCCAAGATCATACCATCAAAAAACTGCTGCTTGTCTTTTGGGAGATAGTGCCGAAGACCACTCCAGACGGCAGGCTCTTGCAAGAGATGATCCTCGTGTGTGATGCCTACAGAAAGGTAGCCCACTGTTGGTTTTGTTGGTAGTGTTCCTATACTGGGTCTCTACAGCAAGTACATCATTTTGTGTTATTTAATAAATATTAAAATGGAAATGCTCAGCATTTCCTTCCTAACTGTTCCATCTCGGTGCTTCAGAGCTGGATAATTGTAGATATCCAGCAGACTTGCTACCAAGGAATTTTTACATGTTCTTTTACTACTACAACTTTTAAAAATTTCCTGCTCTTTGTTTCCGAGTCAGTGAACTTCAGAGGTGAGGGATAACCCAGTTGCCATCTTCATAGTGTCTTGGGACTAAACCATGGGCCATAAAAGGTTTTGGAATAACTTTGTTGTGGTGTTTTTGGGACACCCCTTCACAAAGATAACAAGGTCCTTCAGCTTCTTTGGGAAATGGGTCAGAAGCAAATAACCTATTATA